ACCGGCTACCGAAGTGCACAATATACAACGCGTTACCCTAATAACGCCTTATTATATTATTATAGGTATATCGCCATTTAGCGACTTGCGAGCTTACCGGCTTGTAATAATAATGTTATTAAGAATTAATAATTGAATACAAAAACATAAACCGTTTCCTAACCTAACCTAAACCCAACCTAACGCAAATCTACGCCGCAGCAGCAGTACTAACCGACATTAAAAATTAAAATATATATAATAATGATATTATTATTATTGTACAGTTGTACGCGCACACACACACACACACACACACACACACACACACACACACACACACACACACACACACACACCTATAATATAATGTAAATCGTTACGTAAACGTCGTCGATACTACGTATTATACCTGCGTCAACCAGTAAGTCGTATGTGTACCTAGACACCTGTGCGGATAACATATAATATAATACACTCGTATTCGCATATGATGTTATTATGTATTATAAATACTGCACACGTTCTCCGTCCGTGTATTAATAACAGTTGTTAGTAGTATAATAGTTGTAACGGTCGTTGTAATAATGATAATACAATAAGCAATAACGAAACGCGTGCGAGTTCACAGAGTCGAATACCAAATCGGACCGCGGCTGTCTCCTTCGGGCTCCGGCGGGGCTGTCGTCATATTTAAAATTCGCGCGGCGTATTGTCCAATCGCCGAGAACGCGACAACGACGGCGACGACAATAATAATTTGTCGGGCACGTACACTACGGTCGTGTTTTTTTTTTCTCCACTCTACTGCAATAACAATATAGGTGTAAGCGTACGACCTATCGCAATAGGTCATTATTGTTTATATAACCTAGGTATATGATATTATATGATATACTATACGAACATCGAACGTATACGTATTGAAGCCGTTTACTGAATTCGAGCAAGTTTCTTGAGATACGCCCAAAGATACGCGCCATAGACAATTAAAATAATATTTTGAAAAATGTGCATTGGGACAACATCAAATATGCATACATCCAAGCTTTCGAGTTTCGAGTATGACTTTAGTCATGTTATAAATTGTTACGGAGATAGGAATATGATAGGACGCAGTATCCTCAAATTAAATCCCGCCCCCATTTGCCCCCTCACCCTGACGCCACTGTAAAATTGTTAATAAAAGCAACTAATTTTAATACTTAAGAGGACGTTACACTTGTTGTCTCCTCCGTACAAGTGCATGTTATGCCATTTTTTACACTCAGCAAATAACGTTTTACTCCATTAGTTTAAAAATTAGAGGAAATTGACTTCTTAAAAAATTTTAAGGTACGATTATTATCTAGGTAATCGCATAGGCTTTGTAATATATTTTAATTTAAAAGCAAGTCATGAGTATTTAAAAATTGTAAATCATTTGTACATCTTAAAATACTTATAGCTCGAGGTCCAATTAAAATATAATAAAAAAAACCTATGAGATGCTCTAGACATAATAATCGTATCTTTAAATTCAATAAAAAGTCAGTATACTCTAATTTTTAAACTTGATCTGCTGAGTGTCTAATTTGCTGTGTTACGTACTTGTAAGACGGAGACAACTAATGTCCTGGTAACGTCCTCTTAAGCGGCCGCTACCCATGCATTTGTTGTTTCCGTCATACACGTGTACGACCACCAAACCAGTAATATTCAATAATTTGCTGTTATTTTTGATATTAGAGTGAACTAACTTAGAATAAAACTTTTAGGTATGACCATTATCTATGTTCTACCGTTCGGTTTCTTACGATATTTTTATTTTTAAACGACTTATAAGTATGTAAAATATTAATATTTTAAAATGCTCACAATTCAATTACAAATTAAATTTTTTTAACTAATCGATCGAGAGAACACAGATAATATTTTTAACTAAAAGTTTGATAATAGGTAAATTCACTCTTATATCAACTATTGAAACCTAGACCTTATACTATTAGACAAGCAATTAGTGTACGGAAAGCGTAACAACATAGCTGGCGTCTTATGATTACTCGATTACTGTAGTAGCTGTGTAAGATATTTAGATTATTGTAATTTTTTGTAGAATCACTGCGAGATGTTGTTACGCAGCCCGCGTAATGTTGTTGTACACAGTTTTTGTCTAGTAGTATAAAGCCTATGGTCTACATAAAAATATTTATTCATAATTTAAGTTATAAAAAAATTAAATCGGGAAAACAAAATAATATGTAAACTTTATACTATTGTATAATTTTATTAAATTATTAGTGTACATGTTCAAATATTAGCTGTAAAAAAATGGCCGAGTAGGTGCTCTTATATAAACATTTATTTTTTCAGATCACGACACATTATTGATCCAATGGCACAGTTTATTTATTTTAAGAAATATTTTTTTGTGTTTAGTATTTTATTCAAAGAATCGTAAAAAAATAATAAAATTGATGAAGTTATCTTTATTAGCTTTGCGAATTAATACCTTATGCCTTCGAAATGTAAATTAATAATACAATAATTTTCAACACAAAAATATAATAGGCAAGTATTCATTTTGAACCACTTTAGCTTATTTCCCATATTTTCTCGGGACTGATAAAGTCACCAATAACCTATCCATTATTACTCAGTGCACTCCCCCCATTTAACGTTATCAATAAAATCGTTTATTTTCCTTTATTGTTTCTTCTTCCTAAATAGTTTTTTGAAGCACACTGCAGTAGATACTAGGTAATCATAAATTAATACCTTTACCTTCGTAAATCGTGTTTAACTTTCTTTGTCATATTTTGCTTAGATACATATTTCTATATTCTTTAACATCGACTCTACATAGTATTATTAAAAAAGGTATGATGACATAATTAAATATATTATGACTTGATGTGACACAGTATTACGTATTCCGAGGATTCGCTGCAGTGGGATGCGCTTTTACGATGTGGTTAAATCGTTTTTTTTTCAACGTGTGGGCTTAGACATAATACTGGTATCAGTGACATTAAGAAACTTGTTCTCAAAAGAAGAATAAATTCGTTTGCAAAATAGATTTATGAATTCTTATTGTAATAATTTTAAAATCATAGGAGCATATCGGTAAGTAACTACAGGTATATCACAATATATATTAAAAAATCTTCCTTTTCTCAAAAAATTAACATGTTTAACATATTATCAGAAGCAAAGAATTGGTCTCACGAGTCACGACGTTAATCGGATTTTTTATTTTGTACTTTGAAATGATCGCAGTGAAAGTATCCTAATAATAGTAATTTTTTTCTTGATTTTTTTTTCATTTCTAAGAGACTGTAGATGGTAGGAGCGATTCATTTTAAAAACAAGAACAGACTTTTGGAACAAGTTAATTTTTACCGAAAAATATAATAAAAACATTTAATTTCTATTAAAAAAGAACTTAAAGAACAATCTTTGTACAATGCACATACATGTATTATATTATTAATAAATTACGTATATTACATAATATACAGTATATTGCCAACACCGTTCGATGAGTTATTCTTGTACGGTTCTTGTCCACATCAGACCTATCGTAACCCCGCGTCTTCGGCAAGTCTGATGGCACAAGACATCGCTTGTAGACTCGTGTGCTCGCCGTAAACAGTAACGGTGAGTAACGCAATGAATAATGATATTTTAGGCCAGACTGCTCCTGCCGTGCCCATCTGGCAATCTTATAAAAGATAATAACTCTGAAAAATGTTTCAATATTCTGTAAAAAAAGTGTTTGAGTACAAAGACAAGTATTTAAGAAATATATTTATAGATATCTTTAAATGTTTATCTTATAAATCAACTGAACCGAATTTTTTTAGCATTTTCATGTCTTCAATTACTCTTATAGGACATTTGGTGTAGGTAACTATAAATTATTTGTCTGTTTTTTTTTTGTTTGTTAAGGTATAATTTGAACTGTCGGTTATCTCAATATTTTTTTTTTATTCTACGTGATTAAATGGAAATTGAAATATACACACTAAAAAGAAAAAGTATTTGATTTTAAATTCAAAATCGTTTGGAAAGTATTTGAAATACATTGTCCCAGTACTTGTTTCAAAAATATTTAAGATGCGTATTTAAGACCTTAAAAAGTTTTGACTATACTTTCAAGTACTTACTTAACAATACTGCAAATGGAGAGTGATCGTATCCGACAAAATATTACTCAGTTGCTAGGTATGCAGTCGCTGCAACACGATTGCGCAATTTTTCCTTTTTTGACCCGGTTAATTACACCACGATTGCGCAAAAAATTTGGAATACGATTGCGCCCCGATCCCTTTTTACCTGTTAAAATCACAACACCATTGCGCACCAAATGATATGTATATATACTATAAATAATAATTTATATACAATATAAAATAATGCATACAATATACATACAATACATACTTTATATAACTCGCATATTATACATATTACATGCACTCAAATTATAAATATAACCTGCACATTTTATGCAGTAATCGAGAAGTTGGCATGGCCCCGCCCCGCACCCCGTCCTGGTCATCACGATGCCCGTCGAAAAATTCGATTGATCGGGGTTTTCGACGGTGCGAGGTGCTTGACCGGAGTTTATTTAATGCCCCTTTATGGTACCATATTATGTTAAACACCTACGTACTGGCTAAATCCAACGGATTTTCGGCAACTGGTCCACGGTACATACCTATGCGGCCATAATATGTCCCTCGCAAGATAAAAATATGTATTATATGACCAAATACCCAACAGGAAGCTGGTTCATCCACCGTCTGCCCTCGACTGCGTATAATATATGACGTCGTTTGCCATATTATTATTATTATTATTATTATTATAATATTATGTCATTATGCAGACGGACAGTGACGGACGGACAGACGGCGTCCACCGCCGCCGGACGAATCGCAATACACACTGCCGCCGCCTCCGCCGCCGCCTCTTAACCGCACGGTGTGCGTGCGCCGTGCCAGGCGCGTGTCACACGCTAAACCGCTCAGTCCGATTCGCCGCAGTCCGTTACAATATCACGTCTGGACAATAGCTCCTCGCCGGTCGCGAATACCTACGATCCACGCTACTTTAAAAAATCACATCGCCGCCGCCGCCGTCGTCTTGCCCGCGCGCGCGCGCTAACACACCCGCCACCGCCGTCCACGCACGCCACACGTCGTACGCAACACTTGACTTGATACGCAGCGGTAAGTGTGGCCGCCGAACCATTTCGGAGTTTTTATCCCGGTTTTCGGTTCTTTACGTTAACACACACATAATTATTATTATGTTTGGTCGGGGGTAATGTGATTATTATTATGTTTGGTCGGAGGTTATATTAATATTATTGTTATTATTATCATTGGAATGAAAAAACTGTTGGGCTGCAGTGAAGGGTTTCACACTATTAAAATAGGTACCTGTGTACATTTGGGGTTTGAGGTTTGAGATTAATACCTATATGATTATTATGTATATAGTTCAGTTAATACATAACGTCATAATATATCAAGCCATTGTTGTATCCTTCTACGAGTTATCGCCAACAGACTGTATATTTAAACATAATAAATGTATACCTATCACAGGTAGGCTCATATCGCAGAGGTGCTATGTGCGCTTAGCACTTAGGATTCTAGAGCTAACACCGTGAATCCGATAATATAATTTACACCGTGATATTATTATTATTTTTTTATTTATTAGTTAAGCATCAACTACTATTAGCTTTACAAGAGTATTACATTTTTACATTATATTTTATTTTGTTATTATGCAATTCAGTTTTTTTGGACATAAAATCATGTTTTAATAATTTAAAAATGGACCAATCCCTTCGTACTGCAGGTTGTCAGGGTCGTTAAAGTCTTTCTCAGCTTCGTCGAAGTTTTGACAGTGGACGATGATATGTTTCATGGAGTAGTTTGTATTGCATATTGGGTGTAGGGGTGGATCTGTTTTTACTATAAGGTTCCGTGTGTGATTTCTGTGTGACCTGCAATTCTAGATCGATTAAAAATTACCTTCATTTTTTCTGTTTAGATCAGTGTATTTTGGCCAGAGTAAGCACAGTGCTTAATTTCACTTAATTTGTTTTCCGTGGTCATGAGCCTTTTTTTGTTCCATAAATCAATGCAGTATTGGTTTATATTTCTTTTTATGTCTTCAAGTGAAGAAAAGAGAATTATTTCGCAGTAGGGACTATTAAATGCATTACTAGCTCCTTCGTCTGCCTTCTCGTTTCTCTTCATGTTGCAATGTCCTGGGGTCCAAATGAATCTAATGTCTTTGATTTGGGAAGAAGGTTACTAATTTTTAGAGCTAAGGCGCTGAATGAGTTAGAACATGTATCTATTTTTGTATCATTGATTTTTAGAGCTAATTTTGCTCCTCTATATAGTGCTAGGTATTCGGCTGTATAAATAATACTTAAATGATTATTTTGAACTGTTTAGTTACATTGAGGTGAATTACTGCAAGTCCTATACCCATTTCAGTTTTAGTTGTAGACCTGAGTACTGGTATTCGAACTGTGTGTATAAGTTCATAAATAAATTACTATAAATAGTATTTGATGTTTCTTTTTTCAAGTGTTCTGTTAAGCTTATATCTACTAGGTAATTTTGGTTGTTTAAAAGTTGACTGTTTTGGCGTTGACGTATTTCATTAAATATAATATTAATATCCGATATTGTTAATGTTTTTATATACGAGTATATTTTCAGTTTATGGCACCAAAAATTTTTTATAAGATATGCACCATTATTGTGTATCACGTTGGATTCCATCACCGATTGCCCTCCCTCCTCATATTATTCACAGTTGATAAAGTATATATACATAATGTTGTAAATATTCTTAAAAATAAAAAAAAAGCTCAATTATTATAATTAATTTCATCCTTATGCTTGTTTTTAAATCATAATCTATATTTATCATACATATTAATGGTTTACGACGAATGAAATATTACGCAGATTATACTAATGGTATTGTATTAATAGTTTTATAAAAGCATTTAAAAAGAAAGTTCAGATGTGCAAGTGCCCTGAGCATTTTATTCGATATAGAAGAATCTTAAATACGAACGCCTATTGTGATATTTCACATATATAATATTATTATGTATTATGAGTTCGTAACATGATGTTACGTTACTGACCACTGGACTACAATTGCAGATGGAAACTACACAATGGCTGTCACCCAAATATTAACTTCTGTAATTTATTTCTTATCATATGATTGTCCACACTTCGCTTGTTCTAGATACACGTGGTCCTTTAATATAACAGATCGTAGATTGAAATTCATCGATTGTTAATTAAATAGTCATTTTTGATTTTCTCAATAAATTATCCATGCATTATGTTTAAGCAAAGATTGTAGCTGTTTAGCGTTAGAAGGTTTTTGAAAATATTTCGTCAAGACCCCCGAGATCCGGTCGAAATTATTTTTCCATTTACTAAGCTAATACGAATATTCATGATTATCCAAGTAAGACACTGTAATAAGAAACTATGAATTATTATTTATCATATTACAAATATTACAGTGTGAGTGTTAAATGTGAGTGTTCGCAAGTAATAAGGAATAACAATAAACATTTTGGTAATATGATGTGTACAACACTACTGCTGCAGGATCGGGTTATGTTTCGTTACGTGATACGCTGCAGTTATTTCAAAATTAATTTATTTAAAAGCAAACAGATGTGCTCGAACTGTCCACACCCATCCAGTTATTTAAGTACAAAATTATTTTGAAGATGTTTTCTGAATTTAACAAGCAAAATGCAGACACCTATATGTATAGTAGGTACTCATTGGTTACTACTTACTTATTAGAATCACACTATATGTCGCATAAGTTACATAACCTAATACTGTTTACTACTTTATTCGTATTTATTTAGTTTTCCTCTATCCAAAGACACATAGTATTTTGAAGTGTTATTGTTTGGTTTGGACGTCTGTATGACCGATACCTATATATATTATTATTGTATTTTGACTTTTGATGAATAGTGCCTACTTATAGTACGAGTCTCCGTTTCGTAAATTATAATATGACATACTGTTTGTATTCTAATCGTTATTATATAATGATTTTTAGTAATATATGATAAGTAGTTTATTTTACCATAGAACTATATTATAAGCGCCTAGGACTGTGTGTCACATTTAAGTAGACTATAAGCCCGAGGTAGTGTAACTATACATTTTTTTTCTTTTCATGTTTGAATAATTGTATAGAAATTCATAATAGGGTCGATCCCGTACGTGAAATTGCGTTATTAAAACTGAAAAATGTTGTGCTCGGATAATAGTATAAATAATATAAATCTCTATGTTGATTTTTTTCGTTAATGTGATTGGCGTGGTCAAATATATAATGAATTCTGATATAGGTACGTCGTACGTACTACCTATACAATTTTAAAATTATTTTTAGCGAGTGATTATTAATTGTGTATTAATCACGCGTTTTGTATATAAACCTTTATCTATTACTTATTTAATATTAGTTTACAGATACTAATTATGACTAAATGAGAAACATTTATTTTCTATAAAATATTTATTATTATCAGTTATAACTTATTGCAATACGCCCACGACAGCAATTTTAAATACCAATAAATATAATTAGTAAAAACACTAAACATATATACGGTACAATGGTCTAATTTTTAATTTATATGTACATTTTATTATACGAACAATTGCATTGTTAGGTTTCAGTTTAAATACCATATGATTGACATGGAATAACTTTTTTCTTAAGAACTATAATATATAATATAGCCTACGGGTACATATAACTACATTTAACACAATTACGGAACAATAAGTATGTCATCTCTTTATATAGGATATAATGATATAGTTTTATTTCATTAAAAAATATCTTGTCATTCGCTGTAATATTTGAGTCCAATTATCTTATTCAAATGTTATTTAAACTTAAAACCATATTATTATTTGTGTTACATATTTTCTTGTTTAAAATATGTATCTCATGCCTTATGCTAGATGCCGCAATCCAGCATCTCCTATGTGTGCGAACAGACAATATGACTAGTAATGTTTACTTTAATACTCCAACTACATACTAGGAGCCAAAAATGAGACCTCAAAACATGTTTGAAAATACAGAATAATGTACGAAATTCCAAATTATGATTTCGAAATTTTGTAGAAAAAACTGCTTATAATACGTACATTTATTAATCTTATAATATAACATATTATAATAAAATGTAAATGCTACGTATACATTTTGAGCGTGTATAATTTAAATAATGTTTTGCATTATATAATTTATTATATATTTTACTCTTTATTATACAGTTGTTGTAGAAGGTTATACAATATTTGGTTAATCACTTATGTTGTCAAAATAATGAATAAGTAATACATTTTCAAATGAAAATTTATTTACGATTTTATATACTTGTATAATATAATATACAACGGCGTATTTCTAACAAATAACGATGAACGACTTTCATCAAATCGTTTATGAATTATATAAGATAAACTCAACAATTTTATGCACGAATTTGAGAGAGCATGTTTATTATCTGAAATGTTGTTTCCCAATCGGTACATAATAAGTAAATATTCTTCGGATAGTAATCTATTTATTTTTTATATATTATATTATACGTTCGGTTTACATAGTATTTCATTGAAAATATATAATTAATTAAATAACACGAATATATTTATACTAGTTTACACCATATATACCTAAGCTATAATATAAAATATGGAATATATGGATTTAGTTCACTTCTATAATTGTATGTAGATAGGTACCTAAATGTTGGAAACATATTTCCCGATACAGTAATCTGAAATAAAAAAAAAATTGTTACACAACCTGTAGGTAAGTACAATTAAGATTGATACACGCGATTTATGAATTCGTTTAGACCTCCGTGTAAAATTATTATTTTATAATTGTGTGTGAATACTTTTTATGGCAATGGACATCACTGATTCTTGTTAAGTAAAAATCCCTTGACCTCGGTATACGTTGATGTACTGAATTACCATAATATTATGTGTTATCAGTGGCCCGAATCATCCATATTCCCTCGTTTTCCCTTGACGCTCGTCACTGCGAGCTTAGTAAACGTATGTAATTTAGTATAACATCAATACCTTGAGTACAGAGGTCTCGAGAACCTTGTGCTGAC